TATTACACAATTGTTAGTCATTTAGTTGAAAAGCCCCATCATGGAACTTGAAAAGGTCTGAAAAAATGCTCGAAAAAAGCCTAGAACCAGAAAAAGGCAGAAACTGTTACAGCAACATTATGAGAGCTGCAATAACAGCCAAGGCCGCCCTCGCTCCGTATCTTCATAGAGGAAAGAGAAGAGGAAAGAGAAGAGGCTGATAGTGTGTGATAAAGTCTGAGAAAATCTGATAGATGGCATTATTATAAGGCTAAATATATCCAGCTTCCCCAATACTACATGACCCTAATCTCATCTGATTAATAGAAATCTGTCAGAGTAGATGTGTGTGCATTTAAAAACAGAGAGTGAGGCGGCATGACGTGGAGAGAAATAACAACAGATGGCATTAACCACGTTTAGATAGACTTAATCACTTTTAGCTGTTTTTCTGATGTCACATACTGTACATGCTTAATCTACTTAAGGTTGAATTATTTTTGTATGTGAAATATTAATGGTAAGGCGTGTATAACAGTTATTTATATTAAAACATAAACATAATTATAAAATTATGAGAAATATTATATGTCGTAATTTGGCCCCAGGTTACTCATAGGCACGAGCCGAATGAATTCACTTTATTTTTTACATAAATAAACCATCTTTACTTCGAATGAAAACTATTTATTACATTGTAAAATTATTTAATTGATTTAACAAGTCAAAATCACTTAAACAATAAATGGTCTGAGGTGATCTGAAAACCTAACAGCGAGAGATTCAAAAGCACTCAAATGCTTCCATAAACTGGATGTCGTTTTTTAAACCGTCTTGATGATTAACTGGCGTCTACATAAAGAGCAGCAGGAGAGAAAAGTCGAGCGGTCACCTACCTGACTGGATGTCACTGATGAGAGTCGCAATCCGAAGAACACAAGGTTTAATTTGTGTTACCAGGTAGGTGGCCAAGCTTGTGTGGTTACCTCGATAAAAGGCTGATGGCTACAAGAAGTACTTCTACAACTACCAGTGAAGTTTAGGGTGAAGAGACAGTCCGTGGGAGGGGTTGGGGACAACTTTTTCAAAGACACACCTCTAAAGTACAGAGAGAAAAAACAAGTATGAGAGCAGATGTAATATAATCACCACTTTGAATGTTGAATAATGTCTTACTTTGTCATTTTTTAACAGATTGCAGAAATATTGTGTGTCCTGTCAAAGGTTTTAGGCGACTGAAGTAAGTGGGAAAGGTGAAGGTGTCAGTTTTTAATCTTGGTTCCTCTTCTTCTGTGGCTTTGAGTGCTATTGATAACATGCTTTAAAATAAAGATTTCAACAGAGTAAGCACCACATATCAGCAGCAATATACAGTCATTAACCAACACTGGAGTAGTTTGATAGAGAGAATGACTGTGGACTGACTTTGTCATAGATACACACATTTACTATGAAGGACATCATAGAGCCTGTAGAGAGGGCAGAAAGCATGTAGGAGGAGTGCTTTTTGTCTGTTGATGAAATGTGCATACAGCCCCAGATAAGAGCTAAACTACATGGCAAAAGGGCGACAGACATTTGAACAAAGCAAATATAAAATGCAAAGACTCAATTTCTTTGTGGTCCAGCAAAGCTTAAGTGGAATACAGTAATGCAAATTGGGAAAGAAGCTGCAATCATGGGGGAGAGATATGGTCTGGACACGTCCTGGCTCTGCACAAGTCCGACACTGTGCCAGTCATTTGATAGTCAAAACAGCTCCCCAACTTTCCTCTCTCTTTGTTCATTTACAGTTTTCAGGGAAATCAGGGGAGAAAACAGTTGGGAAGAATTGAGGCCTTTCTATTTGCAACAATAGCCCCCCCTTTTTTGCCCCTTAAGAACCCGCAGCAGTTAGATTAAAATTATATCTGCATAAGGGAGTAAGGATAGATGCAAATAAATGCATTGTCCATATAAACCTGGTGGTTTTTTTTTTTTGCTTAGGTCACCTTTTTCCCTACATTTTTTGCTCTTTGCACATTTGCTTCTTAAGAGGATATTCTTGCCGTTAACAGAAAAAAGGTGGAAAAAAAACATTTCAGGTCAACAAGGTCAAAGTTCTACTGATGCCTTTTTCAGATGGTATCAACAAACAGAGCTGTAATCTTCTCTTCAGTAGAACCGTCTGACTGGAAATAGTCGGACAGTCCAGTAGGGAAGTAGTCAATGGAAAAATGTCTCACTGTGGGAATTATCTCCACACAACACAATTAATGATCTTCTAAAAAGGTTTGATGTTATAGTGTAATGATCGTTTCCACATTAACTTATGTTTCAAATCCCTTGATGTTAGGAAAAGATACACAGTTACTTATCATGAAAGATGTGAATATTTGTTTATTTGCAACATTCACAAGAAAAACTTTTAAAATAACTTTTAATATGTGTTAAACTGTAATGACTTATAATAATAATAATAATAATAATAATAATGTTTCTAACACTTCCAAACAGAAAACAAACAAAAGTCATGTTTTATTTCTAAAAGCTCCATCCATGATTCATTAGCTTATTATTTCTTAAACCATACACTACTCTGTTTTGTCTGATTTATGAGAAATGTCATCTTGATCCCAAAAGTTACAATTTGAGAGTTGGATTAACATTATTTCATGTGTTTTCACCTCCATCGGATGGACACATTATTAAACGCTGCAGGACTTGTATTTATTCTTAATGCTGGTTGATAGAAGTGAGCTTATAGTTGAAACTGTTCTCTTAGAAGGCCTTGCAAAGTTTGAATCATAAAAGTATGCAATGATGTGTCAGACGGACTGGAGTCGTGTTCAGGCTGCAGCTTCATCCCAGTGCATGCTGGGTAGGCTTCAGTTTGCCATAATCATGTGAAAGATGAGAAGAAATGTTTGAAAAGATGGCTGGAGTTGCAATTTTATTGTGCTATCAAATAAAGTTCATCCCCTTTTTTTCACTTCCTTTCATGAAGACATTGTAACGGAAATGTAATGAGACTGTAATGGAAGAGAGCCTAACTGCCCTTTGAGAGCATCAGAGTGTGTGAATGAAAGTGATATTAGGAGTGAAAGAGGTCTGGGTGGCAGTGTGGACAGCTGGGCAGGGATGTGGCTGCTGCCGCTGTGAGAACGGGCTGCCTTGCTCTGATAAGAAGTTATCAAGATGAAAGGAGGAGGCCAGGAATTACAGGCCCATTGCTCACTGTCATTCAGCAGCACAGACGCACACACAGACCTAAAGGACATTGCAGCATGTCCGTGGTCGAGCCATGTTACCCATGAACCTGCAGAAGCAGTTAGAGCTGACACTGGTACATCTTGTTGGACAGTTGGGAGATGTCATGACCTTGTTGTAGCTGGTTGTCGAATGGTGTTGTGTATCACTCATGGACTTTGGGGACAGCTTTGTAATTCCCATGAAACCAGCTTCTGTGTAGGCGGTGGTCTTATCTCTACCACACAGCGCTGCAGCCACATACCCAGGAGAGCGCGCACTCTCTCTCTCTCTCTTAAATTCAAATTCTCTCTCTCTCTCTCTTTCTCTCTCTCTCTCACACACACAGACACCCACACATGCAGCCATACACTTTTCAATGTTCTTAATATTTCTCATGAGTTAATTGCATTTTGTCAACAAAGAATGACTTGTGTCGCCCACCTCTGATCTGCTTGTGATGTTGTGTGTATAAGTGTGTCTCTCAGCGTTGCCATGACTAATACAGTCAGGTAGATTAGAGGTCAAAGCTCGGCACTACAATTATGCTCACTTAGATACCATAATCTTTTTTTACTGCAGGTTTTATGTAATCTCAGAACGTCTGCTGCACTTCTGAAAGTTTCAGTAGGACATGAATGAAACAGTTACCACAGAGAATGTGACTGTATTTGCTCTGACCTCATTATCAACTGGTTTACAACTAACCGTTTTCATCTTTGTAATTCTCTATATATCTTATTGTGCTTTGTGATATTATCAATTTAATAAAAATACAAACTGAATCCTGGAAGAAAAATCAATAGCCTGAAGCATGTTCTGCCTCCTGGTGGGGAATAAAGGAACTATACAATGTCGTTTACATTACTAAACATGTGAACTGAATTTTGAGCAATAACACTTTTTTTTACATTTGAAACAAATAAGAGCAGACGACATCCATTTCATTTTATTATTAAATCACAGAGAACACCAAGAAAATATTCTTTAATATGATGTTTGAATTTTAAATGAAATCTTATTTGGTGCTCATGATGGATTAATAGGCTCTTTGTGGATAATATAACAATGAGTAAAGTGTTTTACCTGCTCTTTTGTAATATAATATAATAAAGAGTAAGGTCTGTACCTGCTTTTTGTAAAGTGCTTGGGATAACACTTGTTATGAATATAGGCGCTATACAAATAAAGATTGATTGATTGATTGATAAGAAAGTCTTTCACATGCTTTCATTTCTGCAAGCGCTTACTTCTAAGTATCTAGAGATACTTAACACTCTGAAGTTTCAAGATCTAGCCAACAGCACTGCATTGACTCTTTCCTTTGGCCTTTGGAGTCAGATGTCTATTTATATCTATAGCATATATTAGGCCATCAAAAGTGTTTTGTGTTTTCTCAACAACATAGCAATCTTGGTATAGTTGAAAGACAGGAGAAACATTCTTTAGCCTGTCATGTATAAATGTTTAAACACAGTAGCCTATGTCTAATGAATAACAAAACAAATATAAAAAGGATATAAGTCTATATTTTTTCTTTTAAAAAGTCAAAATAATAGGCTACATTATTTTAGAATTTTGAATGAATAAAAAGGGGGGCATATTGACTTGGATTAATGACTTTTCCCAACATTATGATTACATCCCAAATTTTCCCCGATTACTTTTTTCAAAGACAATAATGTACACATATGTCAGGAAAGAAGACAGTAGCACATGTGAATCAAATTTAAAATAAAAAAATAAAAAATAATAACCCAGATTATTATCCTTTTGCTTTGACCTACAGCTGTGAACAACGAGCAGCACCTGAAGGCAGCAGCGGCTAAAACTCGCGGAGGAAACAGGTGAACATGAACGCTGGAAAGAGTCCAGTACTGAAAATAATCCTCATAGGAAACTCCGGGTAACTATCACAAGCTTGATTAAATCTGTTTAATCTGTTGTTATGTATTGATTTACTCTTTCGTCGACAGTTGTTTCACTTTCATTTAGGCTTATAGCCGATTTAAGACTGCGGTGTAAATCCTGGGGGATAGTTCCCAAAGTTTACAATTTGGGAGGATATTAAATGTTAACAGTGCATTTATAAAATGTTAGGCTAATTGTCTCTGGTAGGGTGTGTGTGTTGGGGGGGGGGAGAAGAGCTTTAAAAGTGATGTAACCCTATCTTGTGGTGTGTGTGTGTGTGTGTGTGTGTGCGCGTGTTTACACAGGGTGGGAAAATCCTCCTTCATGAACAGATATGTGACTCACCATTTCACCAATGCCTACCGGGCCACTATAGGGACAGACTTCTTCTCAAAAACAGTCAACATAGACGGGGACTTTGTCATCCTGCAGGTTGGCCAACAAGTTTGCACCCAAACACACACACACACACACACACACACACACACACACACAAACTAATACAGGACAGGACATCTTCAGCGTGGCAGCATTGTGTCTTCTCAGATTTGGGACACAGCGGGTACAGAGAGGTTCCAGTCTCTGGGCACACCTTTGTACAGAGGAGCCCACTGCTGCATGCTGGTGTTTGATGTCACATCCAGAGATAGTTTCTCTGCACTGGAGGGGTGGAGGAATGAATTTCTGATCCAGGGCGAGCCTCAGGAGCCATCTGAATTCCCCTTTATTGTGCTGGGCAACAAGACTGACCTAAGCAACAGGGAGGTCAGTGAACGTGATGAAGTATAAAACAGTTGTAAAAAAGGATAAATGACATTAAACAGGTGAAACTGATGATCCTGTCATGTGTTAAAATGTTTTTCTATGCCACTCGCTCTTCAGGTGTCTCACAGGCTGGCCATGCAGTGGTGTGAGGACATAGGAGCTGAATACTTTGAAGGAAGTGCCAAACAGGATCTAGATGTGGAGAAGCCGTTCCTGAGAGCAGCTCAGAGAGGTTTGCAACAGGTGATTCAAATGTCTTTTTTTTTTTTTTTTTTCAGTTACAATAAGAAAAACACAGGATCTATGTTTAACATGTTTATTTTTTGATGATAAAAGATACATTACTCCCTACAGTACAAAAAACACACATTGGAAAATACAGGACATTTCCAGATAACCTGCAAACAGCCGAGAGAAACTCGCAACACCTGTGAGTGCTAGGAGCAGCACTCGTCCCAGTGTGGGAGGGAAAGTTCAGAGAGACCCCGGCACTGACTGCTGATGATGACCTATCCAACAAGGGTGCAAAAATAGTGACCCAGCAAAGGTACTGTGGAAGGAAAGGACACAATTTTATACCACATGGAGAGAGGAACAAACTCATTAAATGTTTTTTTCTTTTTTGAGAACCTTCAGCTTATGGTCTAACTTAAGGCATCACTACTAAAATACACTGCTTTTGCATGCATGTCTAGTTTTGTTCAACAGACACACTGACACGCACAAAAATTATGAATGCATATGAAGAGAAAGTTATTTTCTAGAAAGGAATTGGGGGGGGGGGGGGGGGAACCACAAACAAAAACCAAGGTGCCGGCCAGAGAAAAGGTGGCAAGCGAAAACCTTGGCTCTGATCGTCCTGGCTGTTTCCATCACAACTGAATCTGCCCTAACAAAGTAGATTTACACTCATATCCAGTCAGAAACATCCTCCCTGTACACGGTTGTATTGTGATGAACCTAACATGGCTTCAGACTTTTACAGTGACTCAGCCTGACAGAATCAAATCAGAACAATCAGGGAGACTATATATATTTATATATATATATAACTGTTTCTTTTATAAGTAAAGACACAAAAGGCAATCGAGAAATGACCAACATGTAAAAATGGTTTCTCACAGGTAATTATATAAAAGGCCAAGATGTTTTTTTTGTTTGTTTTATTCTTGCTCTATGAACGAACTAATTTACAGGTGAGAACACTCCGGCCATGTGAGCTTTCTTCCCAAGATATCCCCATTCCAAAACATACGGGTTGACACGTCAAGTTAGCTTGCACACCATCTGTAGTCTGAAATACAGAGCCGTGGAAGGACAAAAATTAAAAATTTATTAAATGGATTCACAAACATCAATAGGATAGGAAAAGTATGCCTACTAATATAATTCCCCCATCTAAAAATTAAACAAGAGGTGCGAGACCACATTCATGAGCATAAAAAGTGTAGGACAGCTGATGGGGATATTAAGGGGAGGGCATGAACAGATCTGATGGTGTTTTTTTCTTCATACCCTGTGAAATTTCAGATTTGGCAAACAAAGCAACACAAGCACTGAGTAGTAAACAAAGTAAAAACTCTCCTCTCCCTGGGTCCACTTCAAAGTTCCCTTCAGTCCTATCACCTCTGCGGTTCTACTTGGAACAAATACAAAACTCTTTCTCTCTTTCATTACCATCTGTTAACATCAAGAACATACAACCAACTGAACGAAGATTTTTAAAAATATAGTGGCAACCTCAACAAAGCCACCCATCTTCCCACAAACACAAACTATGGGGATGAACAACAGTTTAAAAAAAAAAAAAAAGTGATGTTTTTTTCTTCTTTAAAATGCACTCAACATACACATACACACAGGAGGAAAAGAAAAGCTTAAAAATACAAAAATAAACTACACAAAAGATCTTCTGTGTCATTGCTTGCTATTTTTTTGGGGAGGATTTTTCACGTTGTGTGCTGCAAGTCTCAGTCCCATCAAAGTCTGTCGTTCCTTCTCTATGAACCTCTTCCTTTGTCATTCTTTGTTGTCCATTCTGAAGTGTCGGCCACCAGTCCTCATCTTGGGGTTAAAAGCGCACAGTGATGACATTACCAGTTGACTGGAGTCCAGTACGGGGACTATAGACTTGGTTGTTGATGAAGCAAATTTGTTTTCAGCAAAAAAGGAGAAAAATGATGTCCTCTTTCATAGAGGACAAGTGCTTTATTTGATTCCGATTCTTCCTCTCATCTAAACTCCTGCCTCCACAGCCTTTTTCATCTCTGAACATCATTTCATGTAGTCTCTCTCTACATACCCCCAGGATTCACAAAACAAAAAGACAAAAAATATATATATAACATTGCGCTCAGGCTGGCTGCCAGTTTGTGAAAGATGTAAATGCTTTTCTATACTGCTCAACTACCGAAACAAGCCAAAGTAGAGGTTAAATGATAGAGGGGGGGTGTGACTGAAAAAAGGTAATGTGCTTCTAAATTTGTGTTGCTCTAAAAATAGTACGACCAACAGAACAAGGAGGAAGGAGGGTTTTTATCTACAGAAACATCTCAGATTGACTTTCATCTCAGCATCATTCAGTTGATCTGCCTCCACTGCTGTCCTGATCTGAGACTTGAGGGGTGGAGGATGAGAGGACGATGAGGATGAGGAGGGGTGAAGGTCAGTCTTCCTGATAAAAGGACAGCAAGTGAAAAAAAGGACAAAAGACTGGGAGGGATCTCTGGGCAACCTCACTGATCCGTCCTTGCTTTCTTTGGACCAGTAGCCTTGCTGTAAGAGCAAATATGAAAGCAGAATGAGTTATGCATGTTAAACTTTTCAGTGCAATGTTGACGTCTATCCTGTGTGCAAAAGATGAAACATGAACAGCGCACTTACGTGTCAGGAGAGGTGCCTGGTCTTTTCGGGGCTGGTTTTGCCGATGCAGCATCTTTGCCGGATTCTACAAACCAGAAAAATCGGTTCAAATGTATCCCTCACTCCAGTACTTTCTTTATTTTTTATTTAAAGCACCAACTGTTAATACATATTTATGAATTAAATATTAGTTTGTCCATCCATGCCCTCACCTTGCAACCATCGAACTTGGGTGGCAGGGCCATAACCCTTCTCATTGCGAGCGGCAATACGGAAGATGATGGCTGGCTTGGTAGTGTAGTCGATGTGGGCATTGGAGAGGCTTGATGACTGCACCAAGCATGATGGGTTGGGCCCACAGTACACGCGCATGAAGGCTAGCTGTGCCGGAGTTGAGGCCTTGGCTTCAGCTGTCTGGCTGCTCTGGATGGCCAAGTACACCGAGTATTCGATGATCTTTCCTGACGTCACCGAGGGTGGCTCCCAGGTCAGGTGTGCACCATCTGGGCTCTGTAGAGAACCAGTGAACAACAAACACTCAATGTCTGATGGCATGGCTTTTAAACAAAGCTGCTTTTATTTTCCTGCTCAAACAGATATTTGTCATGTGCCATGAGGGGAAGTGCTCCACTGGTGTGTTACCTTGCTGATTTTGATAGCGCAGGGTGCCCCTGGGAAGCCCGGTAGGCAAGTCTTGAAAGCAGATATCTCTGAGAAAGATCCACGGCCACAAGCATTGATTCCAGCAACACGAAACTTGTAAGCAGTTCCAGGCTGCAGCTCCATTTTCTTCATCTGGCTGTAGTCTGGCATGATGCCAGAGTCATCCTTCAAAAATAAATAAATAAATAAACATACAGAAATAAGAAATGCACTGGCAACACCAAAAAGCAGTCATGGTTTGGCTTACATGTCTCCTGAGACACTTACATCTCCATGCGAATCATCTCCTGGCACATAAAAGTGGGTAACAACCATATTTGTCACTTTCACAATTCCAACATCAAACCACTGGTTCTCTTTCTTTATAACAGGCTTCACTGGAGTTGGCTGAGGACTCGGCTTCTGTAAAATAAAGAAAGAAAATAACAATTAAGTCCAAGTTATTCTCCTTTCATCTTGCTGGGCCAGCATGTTATCAGAATTACTAAAGTGACTCACCTCTCCCTCGATGCCATTGGCAACCTCTGCTAAAGCAGCTGCTGCTTGCAGCTTGGCTGGACTTGCCACCGATACAGACGGCGCAAATGTGCTCGATGGAGCAAGCGCTATGGTGTAAAACACAAAGTTCATAAGGTTCAAACTACTGTACAGAAACATGAAAAGAAACTCTCAAACAAACTTCTTTAGAGTCTTACTTTCAGCAGTGGTCCGTGGCAGCAGTGATGCCACAGCACTGGTCACTGCGGCAGCCATCTCATTGTGTCCATTACTTTCGACAGAGGGGTCATTGAGGCTGTCAGCAGGGGCAAGGCCTTCAGTGGGCATGCTGGCGTCCACGCTAGCCTGCTGCGCAGCAGCCTGAGCCTCCTGTAGCTGTTGCTGCTGCTGGACCAGTGCTGCTAGCTCCTGCTGGGTCAGCATGATGGGGATGCTGGTGGGTTGCTGGCTCTCTCCAGTGTTACCGCTTTCATCTATTAACGAAACAAAAAAAGTAATCAAGAAATGATACTAGTGCAACCATGAAGAAAAAAAACTGTTAAACAATTGTGGAGTTTGGAATAGTCGGAGAATGCAATTGTTTCCATTTTTCTTCCTCACTTAACGCATCAGCCTTCAACATACATTGAACATTACTGTTGAAATCCAAGTGACAAGAAAACAAGCGACAAATCTGACTTAAAAACAACAACTGGACTCACTCATTACGGCTTGCTGAGCTGCCTGGAGGACAGCCTGGATAGCAAGAGCCTGGGCTTCTTCAGTGGCTGCTGCCTGAGCAGCGGCTTCTGCTGCTGCAGTCACGGCCAGCTCCTCGTCTGAAAGACCAGTCACCATAAGTGTGGCTCCCTGACCCTCAGACATCAGCTCTGAGGGCAGATTCAAAGCTGTTCCAGTGGCTGCTTCTCCCTAAGAGAAAACACATTATGGGTCACACATACATCCAACATATCTTTGATCAGATGGACTTGGAATTGAAAAAATATATTGTAAATACCTGTGCTTGTGTCTCCATGGCAGTAGCTCCCTCCTCTGCAGTTGCAGCTTCTGCTGATGCTGTCTCATCAGTTTGCATTGGTTCCTCTGTAGAGCTTGCAGCAGTGCTCACCCCCTCTGTGATTGATGATATTGACTACAAAAAAGAAAGAAGAAGATAAAAATTTACAGAAATAAACATTGGTACTATGCTTTATAGCAAGAAGGCAGGGAAACATTGTTTCTCACAAGTAATTCAATATGAATCAGACATGCAGTCAGAGATATCTGCTGTAGTAACAACTGCTCTGAAGAGGTAGTTATGTTCTTTAGTGAGCACTTACAGGTACAGAGGGTCCAGGAGCTGGTGTCGACTGAGTGACAGTAGTGATTGCCCTGCCCTGGGCGGTGGTAGCTGGGCCAGTTGCCGCCGCGGTGGTGGAGGCTGCCTCTGTGCTGCTGGGACCTTCTGCTCCTTCTTCTGTCTGCTGGGTGGCTAATAGATACAAAAGTACAATTTGACAACTCAATACCAATACATTCATTCTTGTAATAAAATGACAACTCGTTGCCACACGAACACCTTTGGATTTTTCACATTTGTGTTACATGAACAAGAACAACTTGTGAGATCCTAGGCATAGGCCTCATGAAAAAATATTAATTTAATGAATCTGGACGTAGAAAACAATTTCCACTGGTATACTGACAGATACAGTATATGTGAGTTTACCTGTGCCTTCGCCTGTCTCCATAGTGCAGGTGGCAGTGGTGGCTGTGTTGGTGGTCCCAGTCTCGTGGGTTTCACAGGGCGGGTTGGAGCAAACCCTTTGGACCGTGCCTGTTGCTGTGCTGGTCTGCTCGCTACCTCCCATGCTGGAGGTGGCTGTAGATGGGGTGTTGGTGGTCCCAGTCTCATGTGTTTCACAGGGTGGATTTGAGCAAACCCTCTGAGCTGTGCCTGTTTGGCCTGCACTCATGTTTGATGAAGACTGGGTGGCTGTGTTGGTTGTCCCCGTCACATGGGTCTCACAGGGTGGGTTGGAGCACACCTTTTGGGCTGCTCCCATGTTAGACGAGGCTGTAGTAGCTGTGTTAGTTGTCCCAGTTTCGTGAGTCTCGCATGGTGGGTTGGAGCACATACGCGGAGTGGACATGTTCGAAGATGCAGTTGTGGCTGTGTTGGTTGTTCCAGTCTCATGGGTCTCGCAGGGGGGGTTCGAGCACACCTGTCCTGCCTTCATTGTTGCAGAGGAGGTGGTGGCTGTGTTGGTTGTTCCAGTCTCATGGGTTTCGCAGGGCGGATTGGAACAGACCTTTCCTGCTCCAATGGTGGCAGAGGAGGTGGTGGCCGTGTTGGTGGTTCCAGTCTCGTGGGTCTCGCAGGGCGGGTTTGAGCAGACCAAGGTGACGGTCCCAGAGCCCTCTCCAGCTGCTCCAGCCTCAGCAGAGCTGGGCTGCTCCGAGGTTGGTGAAGCAAGGATCGACACTGGTAGATCCTGCACGGGTTGAGCTTCTACACCACTGGGGGTTGTGATTAGAGTCACCTGGGTGGGCTGGTTCTGACCACAGGAGATTAAAGAAATGCAAGTTATTCTTTTTACACATTTTCACGTTCACACCAGTAGCTTGGTTACATATATATGTATCAGCACCATAACCCAATCAACGAGTCAAAGCGTACGACACATACTGCTTTAAGGGTTTCATGCCCTAATGACAGAAATTCAAATGTATAACGATTAGCTGGGAGACAGTCTTACCTGAACTGTGATTGTAGAGGAGGGCAGTGATGAGGCAGAGGTCAAACTTGTCTGAGCAGCTGACACAGTTATGGAAGATGGGCTGATCACCTGACTGGACAGGGTAGAAATTGTACCCAGTGTGGTGATGGGGGTAACCAAAGAAGCGTTGGAACTGTCCACTGCGCCTCCTGCCAAGCTAGAAGAGACTGTACCAGTAACTGTTCCAAGAGTGGTGACACCTAGACAGACGATCAGTGGCATACAAAAAAAAAAAAAAAAGAGAAAGAACCACAGATTACATTTCAGAAAACGACAAAATATGTAATTACATAATTGTCGCTCAAAAAAAACCTTCTTTAAAAAAATTCACGATAACGGTTATTCTTACCAGTAGTCCCCTTGACAACTAGAGTGGTGACAGTTGGCTTAACTGCAGACACTGTCACCGGTGTAACAAGTCGAACACCACCCACTGTGCCCATGGGCACTGTGCGCAAAATAGTACCAGGTTGCCCAGGCGCACCTTTCAAAACCACCTATTGAAACACATGTAGGGATGATGTCATTAGGTAAAACACAAATGGCAACACTTGATGATGTATACAAAGACAGACATATAGAGTCAGTGTACCTGTGTGAGTCCCTGCTGGCCGGCTGCAGTGGCAAGTTTGGGCACTGCGGTGATGATTTTACCAGGAGTTCCAGTGGTCATCACCTTTGTGGTAAGGATCGTGATTGGTGTTTTCATGCCCGTGCTGCTCGTCACACCTGCAAGGCCAAAACATGTATAACTGAAACAATTACCTTCTAACTATGTCAAATGAAGACGCACTATTCAAACACGAGACTGTGTTCAATTTATACTTTTTATTTACAACCTCTACTAAATGATAACTACTCTGTCATAGCATGCCATTAATATTTATTTAGAGATTTCTTTTTAACCCCGTAAGAAAATATGGACGACACATTTTTTGTAGTTCTAATCACAGTAATTAATGTGCAACCTGTTGTGATAAATAGTTATGACAATGAGTGATTTAACACCTGTAGCTCCAGACTGGCTCATGATGGCTGACATGGGGATAGTCTTAATGATGGTGGTGCCCTGCTTTGTGGTGGAAGGAGAGACACCGCTGATGTTGAGGATAGTGGGCTTATTTCCTGTTCCTCCTGCCTGGGAAGTTGTAATTATGGTTGTTGGCTTGCCATCTGCAGAGGTCACCAGCTTCAGTATGGTGCCAGCTGGTAAAGGACCCTTTGTCTGAAAGAAGAGCACAGATTATGCAAACCATAAGACAGACAGACATGGTGCCTGTCTCAGGAGTTATATGCTACTTCCTGTTTTTTTTTCCTGCACTCATGATGATAGCTGACCTGTATGAGCTGTGTGAGAGGGTTAGTTGAAGCCTGGCCTGTGTGCGCTGATGTTTGCACTGGCTTGGTTTGCACCACAGACATCATCTTGCCAAGGTTGGAGATCTGCCGACAAAGGAGAGAGACTCAAATCCATGAGTCACCAGAAAACACTGGATGGCACAGGGAGTTCAGTGGGAGGATGGACCACCAAACTGTTAGCACTATGAAACACTCTGGCCGTAACTGACTGATTGTCATATCTAGCAGTCACTATAGGCCAACCTTAACTTCCTCCACAACTGGCTTAGTACACGTTTTCCTCATCATGTGACAAGAATTAAAAATTAAATGCAAACACACTGTGTAAAAACCCCAAATTGCAGATCCCCAAATTAAATGCATGCATGTGAAAGCACCAAAGGGTGTGTTTAGAAGTTCAAACGCTTCAGTATAACATAGTGCAAAAGTACTATTTTCTTACCAATGTGCCACCGCTGCCCATAGAGAGGGGACTCTTAACAAGGGTGATGGTCTTCGTGACCCCTCCAACCACTGTGGTTACCACTTGGGCTTGCTGGGCCACTGTGACTGCCCCAGACTTGTGGACAGTAATGATGGGTCTTGTGGTGGGAGAGGAGCCAGTTGCTGTGCCCACCTGAGCTGCAGCAGTTTTGAGCATCCGTGTGGCTGGGTTACTGACCTATAAGAAGAGCATTATTTTAACCACATACCTATGAAAGATGAAATGCACACAATATTAGAATTGACTATGTTCAATTAAAATCTGTACCATGACTGGAGAAGCAACTTTCACTGTGGCTGTGCCCGGAGACATCGCTACGGTCTTAAGAATGGTAGCACCTGCAGGAACATTGAGGAGAGTGCCTGCAGAGGAAGGCGGTATCTTCTGTGTCGCTGCTGCAGCTGCAGCAAGAGCTGCCATGCCACTCATCTGAGGCTGAAAACAGAAAAAGTAACCAATTGCTTAACTTGTTTGCTTATTCAACTGTAATATATACTTCAATAAATTAGTGAAATTGTTCATACTGATCCTTGTGTGGTCTGGGCAGGCACTACCATTCGTACACCTGGAGGAAGGGATGTCACAGTGACAGGGGATTTCCCAGGCTGGCTGGGGCGGACTGTGACAAGAGATGTGCCTGTGGCAGACTGTTGTGCTGCAACCTTCAAAACAGCTGCAAGATAAAGGGAACAATGATAACGCTTGCAGTGAGAACTACCACACAATGGAGGAGTCAGAAAGGGGAGAGAGGCCATTTTTATAGTACCTGTCTGTGGTAGGCTTTGAGCAGAAGGTGCTGCAGCAGCTGGTGCCGGGCTCTTAGGAGAGTTCAAAGGCTGCGAGGGCGCTGCACTCATGGCTGGTGAGGCTGGAGTTGCAGGGATATCATATTTCTGTAGCTGCAATAAGTAGGTGTCAGCAGTTGAGACGGCACCCCAGCTCACCTCCAGAGAATTTGTGTTGGCACGGACTAACTGCACCCTGGCAGGGGCATGCGGCCGCTCTGTGGAGGTGGAGAACAAGATATTACACATAATGATACTGCAGTCGACGACCTGAGCCACCAATGCCACGCTTATGTGTGAATCAAATCCTTTTAAAGTACACCAACCTGTTTCAAGGTACCAGAGGTCTTTACAACAGACTTGGTTGTTCCAAGCTTTACGATATCCGTCACGACCGCTCCAAACATAAAGTCTGGAATTAATGGCCACAGCACAGTGACCTGCACGGGCCCTAGGGATGTTATCTTCAAGAGTATCCATTAACACTGTCTCCCAACACATCGAGTCTACATAAAAACACATGGCAAAAAAATTAACTCCAGTGAAGCACATTATACTTTATCGTTGCCAGAAGAGAAATTTTAACAACTATTCAGTACATATCAGTTATACAAACCAAGGTTTAGACATGCAAGAGTGTTTGTGCACTTCCACTCCTTCTCGTGTGTTGCTACTTTGACATCGTCCATCACCAAAGGAACCCATCCTCCAAAAACATACATCCTGCAGATTGAGACATTGAAATAATAAAAGAGATGCATCTACCAGGAAAGTCTAACATGATCAAAAAAAAAAAAAAAGGTGTATTGTGTTGTTGCTTAAGTGCAACTGTGGTCTCACTTGTTTGTGATGGTGGTGGCAGAATGAAGACTTCTGGGGAGCGGTGCTGTCCCATTTACTGATGGTTTGTTCCATGTCAGGGTATCTAAAGATCACGAGCAGTTGTAAATGTTATACAAGAGCCACACAATGTTTTCTGACATGTCACCAGAATACTTAACCACATACAAGACAAATTTAAACAGACCATTGTCAAAAGATTAGTTTTAATCCTCCCTGTAGAATTACATGTTTTCAATTGACTAAGAACAGCAGCACTTTCTAAGAGAAGCAACATTAGGGCATTATATTGGAACTTTTTACACTTTTTGAAACTTACCAATATCGAGGGTCCACAGATCTCCAAGACGGCAACCACTCATCCCTCCATAGATAATCAGGCGAGATTTCCTGCTCGTCTTTTCTGTGTATACCACAGCCGTGTGGCTCTCACGGGGAGGAGGCAAAACTCCATATGTGATCGGAATATCCCATCCAACCACGCTGGAACCAGCACGCAGCTCGAGTGTGTAGAGATCATTTAGGTATCTGTGAATGAAGAGTACAGACATATTTCACACTCATGTTTTTGCTGTAGTTAAATCTATAGCACTGGTGCGTCTGTAAGCCCTGCTATTGCCTGCTGATAAAAATATTGATACCTGGGAATGTTGTTTTTTGGGTCCTCGCTGTCATTGGCGAGTCCACCAAATAGGTAGCATTTGTTGCCAACCAGGGAAAAACTGTGGCCAAGACGAGGACAAGGAGGGGGACCATTCTTGGGGTTTTTTGCCTTCAGCTTTTTCCATTCCCATCTGCTAGCCTAAAACAAACAATGTTCAACAACATATTATTCAGTGATGAGGTCGTAGGAGAAGCAGAATAACAGATCAGACTAAAGATTGGCAACACATTAAACTTAGCTATTGTGCTAATTCCTGGATATTTACATTGACCCGTATTGCTGATAAGTTGATTAATACTCGCCGTCCATCAATAAATTCAGTTATTAAATGATTCAAAGATCCCGTTTAAGCTCTATCTGGATCCTAGTCCAAAGTAACTTAAGCGATATGCAAGTTATAAACACATATGTAACCCATACTCCTGAACCCAGCGATGCAAATAATGATGAAAATAATGTGGCATGAACCGATGTCTGTGGCCACTATTTATCTGTTGTGTCGTTTCAATTAATTTATGCCAAACTAGTTTATGCAACTGCTGTTTCAGAGGAGATGTTTTTTTATTGGGCAGAGGACAAACTGTTGAGTCAAACATGAGAGAAGAAGTTGGCAGGGTGGGATTCTGACACCAAAAGAAGTAATTCAAAAAAAAGAACATCAGTATAGGCCTCGAGTTTCACAATCGCTGCATCTCTACACACTCCTATATTTCCTATATTACATTTGTCATTGATTCATATTTATGTAATTTGTATTTATTCCATTCCAAGTGAACAGAATATCTATTAGGATTTAAAGTTCTTACTTTACACCAGAACGAGAAATTGAACATATTTAACTATAACTTCATTCATGGTGGAGAGAGTGAAACTTTTGCATGTTGGAGAATATTGCCATGTTTTTTACCCCTCCCAATTTATCAGACCAGAATAACTTCTGTTGTTTCATATCATAAACTCATTGCTTATGTATGAGTTAAAATAAGGAACGCCTATTAAGACACTTTTTGGTACTTGTAACTCTGGGCTTTTTTATTTGTGCCGTAAAAACTTCCCTGTCTGCCCAATGCTTGAATAAGCTGTAAATACAATCATACGAAATAAACATCCAGTGTTTGGCACACATAGACGATATCTGGACGGGACATTCGGGTATGTGTTTGGCCATCCACGTATATTTCCTGACTTTTTTTTTGGTTTATCCATTAAAAACCACATGCACAAGAGAGAGAGAGAGAGAGAGAGAGAGAGAGAGAGAGAGAGAGAGCTGCACGCGTGTGAGATCACACATTATACAAAGCTACAGAATGAGGCGAGACGGGACCCGCCCCCTGTGTGTGTGTGGGTTCATGTGTGTGTGTGCGAGTGTTTGTGTGTGGCGACAAGAGAAGGGAAGTAAAATGAGCAGATTAAGACGTTTACAAACTATGTTATAAATTAATCACAATTAATACATATATTAAAAACCATCCAACCAACTATAGTGTGATTCTGTGGGACACTGCAATACTCATACTCATATGAATTACCATTAATATGAAAAATATTTTTAGAACGTTATCTAAATTAATATTACTTCATAAGATAAGTTAAACCTTAACGGGGGAAAATGTAGTTGTTACAGCAAAGGAGAAAAAAAATGGAAAAATAGTAAAAAGTTAAAAACAAACATATTTACAGAACTGAAAAATTGTAAAACTGAAAGAAAAAAAAAAACAGATTGAGTTTGTCTTTCTATAGCTTAGTTACCTGTAGCTCATAGAGATCGTTGCTGTATTTTCCATACTCAACCATTCCACCAAACACCAGCAACCTTGTGCCATCACAAACAAACCCATACGCAGCACAACCAGGAGGAATATCACCTCGGACTGCTGGGATAAACCACTGGTTTGTTGCTAGGAAAAGAAAAGAAAAAAAGAATAAAAATAAATAAATAAAAGGCAATGAGATAGAATCTTTGACATAAAAAAAAATAAAAGACTTTAACATAGCTGTTAATCTATTAAGCAGCAACTATCATTTTCATATGGGAAGATTCAGCAAAGGGTATTTAAAGATATGGATATAAATAACACATTCGCCAAAACTTTCCCTTTCTTATTTGTCTGTATACAAGAAACTGTGGCAAACATTACTCCTAAACCAACTAGCATCATCCATTTTATTTTAGCCCGCCTTTTTCATATGCAATAAAACTCTTCCTCCAGCAGATGGAGACCAATCCCTTCAGACACGGGACTGCTCGGTCTGTCGAGGCCTTAACGATAGATAATTCAGTACATCACGAATCCATCTTTACAATTTAATTATCATAACTTTGAGGCAATGACTCCATCTTTAACTGCGTGGCATTTTATTCCAGTAGGCCATGTAAATATTTATTAATTTAACTTTTAATGCACGTAAAGAAATGTCAGACAAGTAAATACAAAGTTAATCTTACCAGTGTTGTATACGTGCAATTCGTCCACAATCCCTTCGTTTCCACCGCCGAACACAACCATGAGTTCCTTTATGGCCACAGCTCTGTGTCCATGTCTGGGCCGGGGAACCGGACCGGACCATCCGAGGACCCGCTTCCACCGGGGCTGCAGAACCGACACTGTGGTCCCAGACACCGCGGAGCCAGGGGCAGACATGACTTCTATCAAAACCAAAAATGAATGAGTCTGTTGACACTTAAACAAATCATAAACATGTCTTCAAACACACGGGGCATCGGATCACGTCCCGTAGTTAACTTGTCCCACTGTGTTTATGGACGTAGCCGCTACAAAGCTTCATAGTAACCATTACCTTACATGAGAGTCTTTTGAGCCGGACTCAAAGTCATTTACATGCATTTGAGTTGAAGTTGTGCATTGAATGTTTTAAATCAATCCAACACCCAAACTATGTTGTGTATAGTTGTGTCCAACCATTGAATTCAGTTCATGGAAGCAGCCATCTTGTAACCAAACAAACCCCCGCTAACGCTGCTGCCAGTCTGAAAAATGGCGGAAGCGAATGAAATTGAAATATACATGGTCGCTACCACACAACACCGACTAAGAGAGGATGTAAAATGAGATACTATTTCAAAATCGAATAGAGGATCAACTAAGTAAACCAATAAGCTGATTCAACAAAGAGTTAATCCACGGTTAAATGCGTTAGCAAGAGTCGGCTATTTTCATGCTTCTCTGGGAGTCGCCATATTGTAGCTAGCAACTTAGCATTCTTTGCAGCCGCTCTATCGCACTTCACAACATTGGGGGGAAATAGTGAGCTTCTTCAGTGGACGCAGCACAATCAAAACCCACATCTATTTAGCCACATCGAATATACAATTGAAATAACAAAAAAAAAAAATGAGGTAAACCCGGAGCGTGAAATGAATTATGCCCTAAGCTAGACCTCGTTAGCACTGGTGGCTAGTAGTTAAACCTATTCTGGTCAGGCTAACAGAGTTAGCTTCTGTTACAAGATAGACCAAGTTTACTATTAGATGCACTGTTACTTCGTATTATTTTCACATGCATATGTTACCTGATACTAATACAGTTGCAATAGCAATCTTAAAACGCAACCAAACTCAAGTTAACTGCACATATAGTGTGTTATTATGTTTCATGCCGTCTCTGGAAGCAGCCATCTTTTCGACGATCGGCCTACTTCTACAGCTCCCACAAGAAAAATGGCCGTACGGAGTGCCACAACAAAACACAACAAACCTCAAAAGGCGGGCCTATTTCAAAATTCTGCTTACCTATTTCGATGCAGTAGTTGCAAAAGCACTTGTTAGAGGGCTTATCTTATGATAATAATCCAAATTCATTCGATTTGCGAAGAAGTATTTCCTCTCATGCCTGCCTGGAAGCTGCCATCTTCTTGACAACCAGAGGCGGAGGAAAATGGAAGAGAGCTGGCGTCACCCAAAGTAAACATGGCGACAAAGACCCGCTCACTTCGCGTTTCACACAGAAACGCAGAAACTATTTCCGTTATTTTTTATTATGAATAGGTGAGGAGTTCCTTGTTTATTAAAGTGCCTCAAAGAACACGTGAAACTTACACCAAATAAACATTTAGCAAGTTTCACGGAATAACAACAAGTTGTGTTATTTCACTAGGCTTATTGTCCCTTACTAAAGATGGCGACATCCGTGCCGGAACCCCTTCTATATTAATATATATGATGATGCAGCTTTAATTCATTCCATAACCTATTAAGATATGGCCATACGTGCTTGTTAATAGTGTTTAAGCACAAATGTACAGATTAAGTGGTTAAACATATATTTTTTAAAGATGACACGCCCACATTTACCAGGAGCGCGCTCACTGAAACAGTTTCTTCATACTGTAATACCTTCCACATCGATGAACCCCCTGATTTATTCCCCTAAAATCAGACTTGGGCTACTTATGTCCTGTTTTTTGGTTTGTTTGTTTTTTAACCGAAAATCAGTTTTCTGATACGTTTAAATTATAAAATATAAATGACACTTCAATCTAAATTTATTTTCTGAAATATCAATGTTTTGGCAGGTCTGAGTGTAGCCTGATGCCGAATTGAAATGGATGTCTCTCACTTTAAGAAGTGCTTTTTACTTTATACAGATCTCTTATGAGGATGCTGTTATTTTGCAAACATACCTTAGCCAACATTTGACATGAAGACTTTCTTTCAGATGTTAAACTAAACCTTGTAACCCCAATAGATTAGGCCTATATGTGTACAAGTCATCCTGGAAACTTGACTCATGTGGTTTGTGATGATTTTACATTGAACAAAGCACTAGGCCTAAATGCTAATATATCACATCAAGTAGGAGGCCATGGACTTCATTAAGAGCAAAAAGGGCTATGATATGTAATAAAGCTCTTGTTTAATAATGTATGTGAGTCAATAAAAATAAAAATAAATCCATCTATAGCGGATATTAAGAATATTCCCACAGTATACTGCACAATGTGTCATACCGTCACTGGACCTTGAATACTGCACCTTTTGTACATTTTGTGTTTTTATATTTGTTACACTCATTATATTAATAGCTTCTGATATTTTATTTTATTTAAGTTTTTGCTATTTTTGCCTTATTTCTTTTGTCAACTGTTTCGCACCAACACACCGAGTCAAATTCATTGTGTGTGCAAATATAGGCTACTTGGCAATAAAAACCGATTCTGATTCTATATCTGATACTTTTTTCCCCTCGAACAGTGAGTCCAGTTGTCCTTTTCTGCAATACAGTTTTTGTCCATTAGATGTCAGACTTTTATTGTTTTTCTTTTTTTTTATATTGTTTGTGGCCTGAAAGTTCAGTACAACAGGGAGACAAATGGGGATTTTTGTTTCCATCATGTACACATTCGTTTTCTGTCCCTGTCCCAGGACTGCGATCAGACTTCAGTGGGTCTGCGGGTTTCTCCCCCAGGATCTTTTCGT